TTTTTAGAATTGTTACTAGAAGCTTCTCTTTTTGTTTAAACAGCTTGCAAACAACTATTTCAAAAAACGAATAATCTTTGTTATCTCCGAAATCGTTACTTTGCGGACATGTTTATTAAAACTTTTTTATTTCTGTCTTGTTTTACATCGTAATAAGAATTATGATACAAAAAATACATAAGTATTAAACATCACACCAGAATTCTAAAAACATAAAAAAATTGTAAGAATATTCAAAAAATAAGAAAAACAGCATAAAATCTTTACAACATACAGTAAGAAACAAAACAAAAATTTGAAATTGTCAAGTAGATCATCTGAATTTTTTTATCTTTTTCGTTATCTTCACCTTCTTTAGTTTTTTTTCAAGATTTGTAGTTTTTTGTCTGATTTTCTTGTATTCTTTTTTACGTTTTGTTTTCTAATTTTTTTGTTATATTTTTTCCCATTTGTTACATTACCGTTTCAGGATTTGTTTCAACCACTGTTTCTTTTTTTCTTATATAAATAATACTTTTTTTCTTTATTTTTTATGTTACCGGATTAGTTTACTTTTAATTATTATGCCATGACAATTTTTTGATTCTACTTCCGTATATTATTCTCAAATTTCACGTCTTTATTTTTCATTTTTATTAAAATAATTCCTCTCACTTTCTGCAGATTAAGTTTTCAAGTTATTATTTAATCCAAAACACTTTAGGTGGACTCAAAATTGGTCAAGTCGGTGGCAAAACAAATAAAACTACGTTTTTTTCATTTAAAACAATTAGTCCTTAATAATAATTACGATAGCTACAAATAGGCCAAAATACGTATAAACGTGGACGTAAATCCGTTCTTTTTGTTGTCAAGATTAACACGATTTTTTTTGTTTTTAAGATAATAATAATAATAATAATAATGGCACTAATCGTAGGTCGAAATGTACGTAAAACACTAAATAAGTGATTTCAAGTGGGCTCAAATTAGGTCATTTTGGTGTCAAAGATTACATAAAAAGAACTATTTTGTGTTTTACATTGTCATAAAAGAATAAAATACAAAAAATACACATTACATACCAGACCAAATTTCTAAAAACTTTAAACAATTGTAAGAATATTAAAAAACTACAGTTTTACAACATTCGGTGAATAATATGTAAGACGTATGACCAAAACAGAATAAAAGTTAAGAAACTGTCAATTAAATCTTCTTTTCTTTAGTTTTTTTTTGACATTCCCAGTTTTTTATTTAATTTTCTCGTTTTAATTTTTTTCTTCTTTAAACTGTTTGTTTGTTTTGGTTCATATTATTACCTCCTAAAATATTTTACACTCTTTTTTTTAATACCCTGTATAAAAAACTAAATACATTTTAGCTAAAGATCCACTTCAATTGTGGAGCTGTTTATTTTAACTTAAAATCAAGCAAAAGTCGTCCACGTGACTATAATATCTCTATTTTTGTTAGCAACGATGATTTCTATGTTTACTTTCTGTGTCTAATTATTGGGGTCAATCGCGCATGGCATCTAGTGGTTTAAATTGCACCTCATTTGCCCCTGTTTGAAATAATTTGTGTACGGCCCTGGTTGACGCGTGCCATGGCATGCCGCCTTAAAAGGCAGCTGTTCATTACAGCACCCTAAAGCACATGTTTTTTATTTTTTGGCACACCCGATATTCTCACATATGTTCACCAGAACGAATTGCATCGATTGCTAAATAGTAAAATAAGAAAACGAAAAAAGACGCAAAATCATCTTCCTTTCTTTCCCAACATCGTGAAGAAAATAAACTCGCCGCGATACCAGGAAGAGCATATTTAACCGCGATTTCAAAGAAGCCTCACTGTATTTCATATATTAGCTCTTATTAAAATAAATGATCTGGCAAAAGCTTGCTCTTTCAAAGCACCGACGAGTCATCAGCCACGACAAAAATCTCAATTGCGAAATTTCTTTAATCAAACAATAAATAATGACCTACAATTACACAATGGTCGATGGTTTTTTTTGGTTTTTCCAGCCCACCCTGGTGGTAATTTGCATGAAATTTGGCGAAGGAAAGTGTTATCGGGGGCCAACTGTTCATTCAAATTTCCATAAGGTCTGGGGTTGGGGAGGGGCAAGGGTGGCTTGAGAATCGAGGGAATTGTGAACATAAACGCACAGATGTGCATGCGTATCGTGTGTGTACCTTTAAACGTTCAGTCGGAGGTTTAAAGTTAGTGAACATGTGACAATCTCGATGACCGGCTGTTGCACTTAAATGATCAGTGCTTGTTTTGTGGTTTTTTATGCATGAGTGGCGATTTGTGAAGTGTTGGGAGAGTGGACCACTGGGAGCTTTTATCAGAGGTGAAGTGAGCTTTTTCGCACTTTCTACAACGCTATTTTGATCCGAATTTGTCGGTTTTATCACTTCTGGTGATAACACATTGACTTCAAATGTTAATCAATGGCCTCAGGAAGATAAAGTTAATTATTTTATTTAAGTCTGCGGCAGACAGAGCCGGACTGGTCGAGATTGGTCAAGATCATCATCATTTATTGTTCTTTTTATTTTTTGTCATCTTTTTTCCTATGCCTATACAATTTACTAGAATAAATGAACACAACTGTATGGAATTATAATTCTTCCAACTCAAATAAAAGTTTTTGTCAAAATAAAATTCGTGAGCTTAAATTTAATTGTTGATTTTTATTTCTTACTTTACTTTATTTTTTATGTTTTTTTGAAGCAAAAAAATCAGATTTCATACTAAAATCACTATTTTGTTGTTTAGTAATTTAAAATTGAAATTATAGTACTATTAATTATACACAATACAGTGTGGTTTTGAATAATAGGCAAAAATAAATGGTTCGAGTTACGAAAAAAGATTTTTTTGTTGTATACAGAGTGCGCCAGAACTCGCGCCCCAGAGAAAAATTTGACTTTTTTATGTCTATTTAATGATATTGATGATCTTGTATATGTTTTTTTACAATTATTTTTTAAGGGTACAAAAATTTTGCCAATAAAAACCACAAATAACATTGAATAGAGTTACAATTTACGATACAGCTTCCTTGTTTTTTCTTCTAATAGCCTGTACTAAAAAAAAATTAGAAAATTATTTTTTCAACAGAAATAAATAGTCAAAGTTCAAAATTTTACCACTCATAATTTCGAAATTTTTATAGATAGTTTTTTAACATTTTTTCCATGTTCCTGGTATCTTACCTTATACCTTATCTTACCTTTTTTTCTGGGGCGCGAGTTCTGGCGCAGAACTTTTGTATATACAAAAGAAATTCATAAAATAAGATACCATTAAAAAATATGGGGTGTCACAACCAATATGTAGTAACTTGCACAATTTGATTAATTTTAGTTGATACCCTGTATATTAATATCGAAGTTAAATGAAAGAACTAGGAATCCTTAAAAAATGTGTACAATTTCAAAAAAAATTCAGTAATTCCAGTAATGCATTTAAGTAATTGCATTGCTTTCACATTCATTGGTATAATTCTAAATTAATTTCTGTAATTTTAACTTAATTTTTGTATTTCTAAATTAATTCTGATAATTCTAAAAAAAAAAAATCAGTACTTCTACAGAAATTCCATTAGTTCACAAATAATTCCACTAATTCTAAACAATTAGAATTAAATTCCAAAAATGTGTACAACTAATTCCAGGGTTACAAGAATTTTAATAAAGTAATGTTTTTTACAAAAATTACAAAAAAATTGAATAGCTTGGTAATTGCAAGAGAAATATTAAACAAAATATGTTTTTATAGCATTTAACAAAACAAACAAGAAAATGAAACAAATATTTCCAAGATATTTTTTCGTACAAATCCTTTGATTATAAAGATATATAAAAAATGTTTGTACAATGTTTTACGACTTTTAGATCTCTTTGAAGTCAATATCTTAAAAACTACGCATCGTAGAGCATTTTAACTTGACCAGAGTACTCTAGACGTAAAATCATAATATGTTTCAAGCGTTTTTGCGACTTAAGGTAAAGTACGATTTATCTATCCACTCACCTTCGGAAATTCAAAAAAATTGTGATTTTTGAAACTTGATCCAATAACGTTTTACGCACTTTTTAGAGTCTCTAGGACTTCTAGAAATGTAAAAAAATATAAAGTTTAATTTTGAAGTTGTCATTTTTTTATTTTTTACATCATTGTAACTTTTGTGGTACAGTATTGTCGAAATTTTTAAAAATTAAAAAAAATTGGGGCCGTTTTTGGGTACCATAATTTCAAAGTTTACTTGATATTTTGATATTTTACGATAAAAAAGCACTTATGCTTTTATGCTTATACCGTTCTTATGCTTATACCTCTCTTACGCTTATAGGCCGCTCTTATGCGCTCATGTCTCTATTATGCTTAGGTACTTATTTTTAAAGAWTGCTCTCTTTAGACCATCTTTAGACATTTGAATTGTTAGTATTTGAATTGGAATTAAAAAAATTGCTGACGAACTCCGGATCTTCAGCTCTAGTCTAATGTATTCATATTATATTTTTTAATTTCAAATTTTTGTGTTTCTACGACGTTTTATGCACTTTTAGATCCYTTTAAGTGCATTTCGATCAAATATGAAATTTTTATGTTTGGCACCGTTGAAAAGCACATTKAAGTTTCTATCATATACAGAAAAGATCATAGTTATCGAGAAAATTGCTGATAAAGTCAGGAATATCTAAAATATACATAAATTCGACGATAACTTTTAAACTGTTGCGAATTTTGCAGTTTTCTTCATAAATATACATATAAAGTTTAGCCGTAACATACAAAAGAAAAAAAGAAAATTTGTTGAATACGAATCTGTCGAGCTTTTTTTCTGGCTTTTTTAGTTTCGGCGTAGTCGGGGTTGAGATATTGATTTGAATTTAATATATTTTGAATTATTAATCAATTTTTTCAAGTTTGAAACTAAGATTTTGAGGTATTTYGAGTCAAGTTCTTCAGCTCGGCTCTCTTACAATTCAAACTTTGAGTAGTTAAATACTAAAACTTTATTAAAAAACGATATCTTCAGTGACTTTTCTTCGGTTTTCCTCTTTCTTGAGAGGTTCCCTCTCGGGCTCGCGTAAGTCCCAACTTTGCACTTTTCCCGAACACAAAATAAAATACATCACGGCTCCAAAGCAATAAACCCCGGCCAAAATCCAAAACAGGGGTCTCCAATTCTCAAACGAGTGCCCATTTCGTACCAACATTCCTACAATCCTTGTTGAAAAATACACCGTGAGGGCTGACACAGTGTTGACAATGCCACAAATGGTCCCAGAAAAATTCACAGAGATGTCTAACATATTCGCAAGGTGACCAGCGACAGAAAACGCATTTACAGCATAAGTTATGGAGAATGAAACTAAAACGACTGTGGCAACATCTCCGTGGAAGGCCATAATTACCATGAAAATGCCCGGGATGAGAAACGCAGTCGTTCCGAAAATTTTTCGCACACTGGTAGTCGATAAAGTGTTGGTGCGTAAAAGTCGGTCGGCTATATATGCACTCCCTATCGAAGTTACATACACCCCTGGAAGATTAATATAAGAAAAAACAATTTTTCGGTGATTTGTCTAACCCCAATTTGGCAAACTGGCCATAACACCATTTTCTGAAATATTGTAATGCAAAACTTGATCCARATAAGACGGTAGTTCCGTGGTTATGGTCATTGTGGCGAAAAAACTCGTCATTTGGGCAATTGCAATCCCCCAGACTGGGCCAGAAGCAAAAATTCGTCTCCAGGGAATATCATTGAACTTCAGTTTAACTTTCCTAAAATCTGTCTTGATTCTACTTTCAATCTCGTCTCGCTCCTCTCGTGATATCCTTGGATGTTGTCGTGGCGAGTCGTAGATGAAATAGAACCATAAAATCGCCCATAAAAGTGCAACCCCTCCCGCAGTGTAAAAAATACTCGGCCACCCATAATGGGCAATCAACACACCACCTACAAGAGACGCTAACCCGAACCCAATGGAAGTCGATGCTAACGCTGTCATGAACATTGAATGTTCTGTGGGCCCAATCCAGTTTGACACCAAGGGCATCAAAGCGGGCCAACTGGCCCCAATCACAAACCCCATGATGACTCGAGACACCAACAGGGCGTAGTAGTTGAAAGATGCGATAACTGGGGTTAGAACGGTTAAAACCGCAGCAACGGCCATTGAGTATCCGGTGACTTTACGAGAACCGATTATCTCGGCTAGTCTTCCGCTCGGGAACTTTGTGATAGCAAAACCCCAGAAGAAAATTCCGAGGATTTCCTGCTTCTGGGCTTCGCTCCAGTCGAATGTGTTTGGCTGATCTTTCGCGACCATTGCGACTATCGCTATGTTAAAAATAGCCTTCACGAATGCATTCACAATAAAGCCGCTGGTGAGCATTGCGAATAAAATTCGGCGACAAGTGGCAATTTCTAAAATTAGGGAAAAGTCAAATTTGTTAATTTTAATGCTACTGACCTGAAAGTCGTTGCCATCGTGGCATCGTGGAAGCATCACAATTGGAATAAGTGTTGTGGTTGTTAATGTGAAGAAACAGTCAAAGCCACAAATGCAGATTACTCGACCTTTTACAATTTTGTTTACTGGATGCAATTATCATACATTTTTTTGCTAATTAACGCTAAAACATTTTTAAAGATAAAGTTGCGCCTTGAAGATATTGTTGCGTTAAATTTATGTCAAAGATAAACGATAACAGTTTGTTTTGATTTATCTCTTCACTGAGACATTGGAAAAGAGTTACAATATTTTTAATAATTTATTATAATAAATCTTCAAAAGTAGTTGGAAAGTGGCATTACCTTTATTTGTTTTGCTTTCTTGTTGGGACACAAAAGTACTAAATGGGTATTTCTGAAGTCTGAACCTACTTTTTATTGAATGTTTTAATAAAAAAATAATAAAGCAAAGTGCTAGTTATACATATGCATATACGTAAAACACTAAATTTATAGCCAAACATTTTACATAAAGGTGTTTTTGACGTTGTTTCAWTAAAATTAGTCATAATTTAACAATAATTTAGATGTCTATTTTTAACTACTTTTGGAACAGTGAACCGAATTTAGTTTAAATAAATTAATGAAAGAAAATAAGAAAAAATGAAAAGTTGACTTTTAAGAAAAGACAATAAAGCATTCAGTAAAATGAAATAATAAATCAGTATTTAATTAATTTTTGCACGGTAAATTATCAATAGTAATTGTGGATAAATTTGTCAAGTGCACAGTCTTTTGTAGACTATTTCCAGAACAAAATTTACAAAAACACTATTTTCATTACGAAAAATTAAAATAAAAATGTGAAAAAAATAATTATGTCAATTAAATCTTTCCAATTTCTGAGGTTCATCCAAACAGATTCGCGGGCAAATTATCAGTAATTTTCAGACGTGCCGAATTATTGCATAATTTAAATTTGGATTGAATCTTAGAAATTTGAAAGATTTGATTGGCTTAAATTTTGTGAGAAAAATTAGTCAGTAAAATATAATACAAAGTGTCAGAACTCGCGCCCCAGAGAAAAATTTAAAGGAAGATAAAATACCAGTAAATGGAAAAAATGTTTGAAATTTGGACATATATATTTTTTGATATTTTACATTCTATTTAATGATACTGATGATTATGTATATGTTTTTTTTTATAATTATTTAGTAAAGGCACAAAAATTTTGCGAATAAAAGCCACAAATAACATTAAACAGAGTTACAATAATGGAAAATTATTTTTTCAACAGAAATGAATAGAGTTAAACTTCGAAATTTTTGTAGATAATTTTTTTAACATTTTTTTCATGTTCCTGGTATCTTATTTTATATGGAATTTTTCTCTGGGGCGCTGATGAGTAAAGCACGCATTTTATTGAAATATAAAAGTGCACATTAAAAAAATCGTTTATTTAGAGTATCTAACTCTAATTTGTAGAGTAAAAATAACAAACGTTCGGTAACTTTAATCAAAATTAGTAAAGTAGGAATGTATTTATTTTTTACTGAACATTTATTATTTTACTGAGCATTTGCACTCATTTTACTGAGCGTTCATTATCTTTTGTACTGAGTGTAATTTTTTAATTTTTAAATGAAACAATTTTTTTTCTACTGGGCATTTATTATTTTTATGTGCGACTATTAAATAATACGTTCTTTACGTAGTAAAGAAAAATAGTAGTACTATTCATAAATTACATCTGTGATTAATTATAAGTCATTATAAATTACAGATTTGCCATTATTATAAATATAAATTTTATAAGTAGAAAGTGTTTTATTAAAAAAAATCGTAGATTAAACGTCGTATTTAACTCGCACATAATAACTATAATTCACCTGGATCATTTAAACACTCGCCGTGGGCTCGTGTATAAACTTCATCCTCTATAACTGTAACCTCTGTAAGTTTCGCCAAAATAACATCGTTTCTCTCAATTATATGCTCGTTACTATTGGATTAATTTTACATAAAAAATTTACACAATTATTGTAAGTACTTTTATTTTTGTTTAGATAACAAACGTCATATTATGAATTTTGTTACTAATTCTACAAGTGACAGGTTATTTTACAAGATTTATAGTATGTGGTTAATTATATTTATATTTTTATTTTTACATTATAAAATCTCACTTAAAAGATATTTTTTTGTAGTGAATCATTATTTAATTTTTTTTCTTGTAATGTGCGTACAAATTTATTGTAAAAATATTGTAAAATATGATTAAGTATTTGGCATCAAAAATCGTATACCTACCAAATTAAAAATAAACATTTATTCAAGTTTAAATAAATTTTTTATTGTATTATAGTTTATACTACAATAACATATTTAGAGCTTATGCTACAATAAAATTTGTAGATATAAAAGCATGAGATTACCTAATATAAGTAGATACATCAGTCTATAACAAAAAAATGTGACACGGTATTTATGGCACATTCTTCTCAGTGAGCAACTGTAGCTCATTATTATGTTCGCAATTCGTTGATTTTTCCTCTTCTCGCACTTTTTGAGCATCCCACTTCTGCAATTCGCCGGAACACAAGACCAAATAAATGATAGTAGTGGAAAAATAAGTGCCAAACAAAACCCCAAAAAGATACCTCCATTCTTGGAAAGTGTGATCATTCCGAAGCAATTGCGCCACAAGTTTGGTCGAAAAATAGGCACTGAACGCCGAAATAGTGTTCACTAAGCCACAAATAGTCCCGGCATAGTTGTGTGAAATATCTAAAATATTTGCACAATGACCCGCGGTACTAACTGCGTTGACGGTCAAACTGATGGTGAATCCCGTCAAAGCCACGGCTGTGGAGTCGCCCCAAAAGGCCAAGCTCAACATGCAAAGGCTTGGGATTAAGAGTGACACCGTTTCGAAGAGTTTTCGGATAGTTGTGGTTGATAAACGGTTGGATTTGCGCAAACCATCGGCCAAATAGCCGGAAGTGAGGGCGGCGAAATACCCTCCCCAGTAGGGCATTCCTGAAAATAATCCGTTTTGTTCAATGTTTACGTGGAGTACTTGGTCCATGTAAGACGGCCCTTGTGTGCACAGAGTCGTAAAACCGAAAAAAGTGGCCGTTTGGCCCGCAGCTATGGCCCAAACCGGCCCCGATTTGACAATCTCCTTCCATGGGATTTGACTAAATTGCAGTCTTCTGGGTTTAGCACTCTTGTCGATTTGACACTCTAGTAAATGTTTTTCGTGAAGAGTAATCCTCGGGTGTTGCTGTGGTGAGTCATAAATGAGGTAGAACCAAGCCAGGGACCATAAAAGTGAAGCACCTCCGGCAAGGTAAAACACACTTTGCCACCCATATGCTGCTATAATAAAGCCGCTGAGATGGTAAGTGAGGGCTACTCCAATGGCACTGGATGCGAGGCATGATATAAACACGGAATGCTCATTTGGAGGGATCCATTTGGCGGCCAAAGGCATAATTGCTGGCCAACTGGCCCCTATTAAAAAACCCATCATCACGCGTGAAGTCAACAACACGTAATAGTTCCAATAGCAGATGATTGGGGTCAAAATTGTCAAAACTGACGCTAAAACCATGGACCATCCTGTAACTCTGCGGGAACCGATGGTTTCAGCAAGACGCCCACTGGGGATTTTCGTGAGGGCGAAGCCCCAGAAGAACAACCCCAAAATATTTTGCTTCTCTCCTTCGTTCCAGTTGAACAAATCGGGGTTTGTGTCATTCGGTTTTCGAACCATTGCCACGATTGTTATGTTGAAACTGATTTTCAAAACTGCGTTCATTACGAATGAACTGAAAACCATTAGGCATAATATTCGCCGACAGTTCAAAATCTCTGCAACAAAATTTATATAAACTTATGAAAAAATTGGATGCACGTACCTGATAATTTATTTAAACAAGACATTTTCGTTTGTTAGTCAAGATTATCTGGACATGTTTTCTCTTCTTGCATCAATTTATAGGTGCATTGTCGAGTAATCAATTTTTAAATTTATTAGCATTTTTTATCTTTGGAAATTAAATAACTCAAGTTTGCTTACGGTTGGCGTCAAGTGGCTGTGCTTGGGTTTTTATCGGCCTAATTAGCAGTCGCCGGTGGTACCTTAAGGCTGACTTTAAAATTTTTGAAGACTAATAAGTCAGCTAAGGATTAAAAATTAGTTTCCTGTACTGTGGTTTTTCAGAATTTTTTTGTGATGTAAGTTTTTCTCTAATTTTTGTTCTACCAAATTAAAATCATATTTTTGTGTTTATTTCAATGATTCTAAAAAATGTGACAAAACAGTTTCTACTACAAATCTTCGTTCTTTAGTGGTGTGACTTGATTACATTTTTCTACATTCCTGTTCACAGAATCTCAAATTGCTTTTCTCTGAGCACGAGATTAAATAAACCCCAATTGCAACCACGTCAACACCGAACAAAATTGCAAAAACTCTTCAAAAGTGTTATTATTTTTAAGCAAAGCTGCGACCATTTTCGTTGAAATGTAAACCGTAAAAATGTGTTAACTAATCCACAAATAGTCTCTGCAAAGTTCGAGGAAATGTCAAGCATATTTGTGCAATGACCGGCGCTAGAAATCGCACATGTTCTGAACGTAATAGTAAAAAGAGTGACTGCAATGGGGGTCAAAGAGTACCAGAATAGAAAAAAAATTGACTGTTGTTGTGGATAATTTCCCAGTTTTGCGTAAATAATCAGAAAAGTGTCTCGAACGTAAGGATAGAAAGTATGCTTCAAAGTAAACCGGCGAAAAGAACGATTTGTTTGTTCATGGGGTGGGTTCTTGCTATGAATGTAAATAAAACGACTAGAATTAGTAACTGTATGGTTTTAAAAAAAGAAGTTTTATGGTCAAGATAACTTTTTATTAACAAGACATTAAAGAGTTCCATTTTTCCGGTTTTGTTGAGCAAAATATTGAATAAAATACAAATCCTAAGAAACAAACCCCGGCTGAAACCCAAAACGCGTATTTCCACTCGTCAAAAGTGTGTCCATCTTCAAGCAGAATAGCGGTAATTTTTGATGATAAATAAACTGAAATTGCGGAATAAGTATAAACCCAGCCTGCCACAATTCCAGAAAAATTTGGAGCAACATCGATGATATTTGGAAAATGACCACCAACACAAGCTCCATTGAGCAATTTTGCACCAATTAGAGCCAATAAAGAGACGGTTAAACTTTGCCCAAAAATTGCTTGAATTGCTAATAAACCAGCAGGAATCAACAGTCCAAGAGTTTCAAAAATTCTTCTCGTTGCATCAGTTGACAATTTTCCAGTGTTGAGCAAATAGTCTGCCAATTTTCCGAAAAATATTGTTGTAAAAAATTTCCCCAAAGGTGGTAAACTTGATAATAATCCAACTTTGGCAATATCATATTGTAAAACTTCTCTTATATAAGTTGGTCCTTCGTAAGTTAAAATGCCACTAAGGTAATAATTCGCCATTTGGGCTATGACAATAGCCCAGACTGGTCCAGAAGTAACAATCCCTTTCCATGGAATTTCGAATAAACTAAACGTTTTTCTCTCAAAATGTAATACTTCTTGTTCAATTTTTATTTTTTCTTCGAGTGTTATTCTGGGATGTTCATTTGGATTGTCGTAAACTAAATAGAACCAAAATCCGGTCCATATCAGGGATAAACTTCCAACAAAGTAAAAAACACTTTCCCAACCGTACAAATCAATAAGGTATCCACCAGTAAGATAAGTTAAACCTATACTAAAAGCACCCGCTTCTATACATGATAAAAATTTTGAAGACGGTGTAGTGGAATACCAATTTGTCGTAATGGGTGGTAAAGACGAATATAAACACCCTTCTAAACCCCCGATTATGACTCTAGTGCCCAAAAGTGCGTAATAATTCCATCTGGCAATAAAAGGAGTTGCAAGGGTTAAAAGAGCTGCAAGAATTGTACTAAACCCGACTACTTTTTTTGCTCCAAATGTATCAGCCAATCTTCCACTTGGAATTTGAGTAAATGCATAGCCTAAATAGTAAATCCCAAGGATTTCTTGCTTCTCACTCGCACTTAAAACAATCAAAGTGCCATTCTCCTCAAACATTGCGACTATTGCTATGTTGAAAACTGAACTTATCATTGCATGTGTCATAAACCCAATTGCCAAAATTAAGTATAAAATTCCTCGACATGTTAATGCCTTGTGAACTGTAAAAGGCATAAAATAAATTAGATCATAACAAGCATACCGACCTGATAAAATTAATACCATCTTTCAGTCAAATAAACGTCCACGTTAAATTTTAGTACTTTTTGATAAGACTCTTGCGTCGACTACAATTAAAAAGCAAGGTGACTTGTGATAAAAAAGTAAAAGTATGCAAATTGTGGATATTTGTGGTGGTGCTTCAAAAAGCAATTCCTGCCATCATGTGATAGTTTTTAAGATCTTTGAATATTTATGGGTTACTCACACTGCACTTGGGCCGTTTACTATGCTTTTAACAGTTCTAAGACTCTTCTATATTCGAAATTTTTCAAGGGGCTTGAACAAAAGAAATTTTTATTTAATGAATGTAACCGTCTACTGGGTATTTTAGTTGAAGTAAAACTACAGAAAAAAAATACGATGATTTCTTGTCGCCGGTTTTCGTTCCAGTCAAAAATCTTCGTTTGATTGTTTTTTTTTGTCGCAATGTTAAAAATTGTTTTCAGGATTGCTTTTACCATGAAACCACATACTGCCATTATGAGGATTCGGCGACAAGTCAGCATTTCTACAATTTGTGGGTAATTAAACTGCTAGTTCAAAATTTKTAATACAAACTAGAACCAGAGAGATTTATGCTGCGTTTCTTGCTAGGAATGTAATAAAATGTGTAAYTTAAAAAAAATACGTTTTATTGTCAAGATAATTTTTTATTAACGAGTCAATAAAGAATTCCATTTTTCTGGTTTCGTTGAGCAAAATATTGAATAAAACGCAAATCCTAAGAAACAAACTCCGGCTGAAACCCAAAACGCGTATTTCCACTCGTCAAAAGTGTGTCCATTTTCAATCAGAATGGCGGTAATTTTTGCTGATAAATACAGTGAAATTGCAGAGTAAGTATAAACCCAGCCTGCCACAATCCCAGGAAAATTTGGAGCAACATCTATGATACTTGGAAAATGACCACCAACACAAGCTCCATTGAGCAATTTTGCACCAATTAGAGTCAATAAGGAGACAGCTAAACTTTGTCCAAAAATCGCTTGAATTGCCAGTAAACCGGCGGGAATCAACAGTCCTAGAATTTCAAAAAATTGTCTCGTTGCACCAATTGACAATTTTCCAGTGTTGAGCAAATAGTCTGCCAAGTTTCCGAAAAATATTGTCGTGAAAAWCTTCCCCAGAGGTGGTAAACTTGAGAATAATCCAACGTTGGCAATATCGTAGTGTAAAACTTCGCTTATAAAAGTTGGTACTTCGTTGGTTAAGATACCATAAAGATAGTAATTCGCCATTTGGGCTATAACAATAGCCCAGACTGGTACAGAAGTAACAATTCCTGTCCATGGAATTTCGAATAAACTGAACGTTTTTCTCTCAAAATTTGATATTTCGAGTTCAATTTTCGTTTTTTCCTCAAGTGTTATTCTGGGATGTTCACTTGGATTGTCGTAAACCAAATAAAACCAAAATCCGCTCCATATCAGGGTTAGACTTCCAACAAAGTAAAAAACACTTTCCCACCCGTACAAATCAATAAGGTATCCACCAGTAAGAAAAGTGAAGCCTATACCAAAGGCACTCGCTTCTAGACATGACAAAAATTTTGAAGACGGTGTAGTGGAATACCAATTTGTCGTTATGGGTAGTAAAGACGGATATAAACACCCTTCTAAACCCCCGATTATCACTCTAGTGCCCAAAAGTGCGTAATAATTCCATCTGGCAATAAAAGGAGTTGCAAGGGTTAAAAGAGCTGCAAGAATTGTACTAAACCCGACTACTTTTCTTGCCCCAAATGTATCAGCCAATCTTCCACTTGGTATTTGAGTAAATGCATAGCCTAAATAGTAAATCCCAAGGATTTCTTGCTTCTCACTCGCACTTAAAACAATCAAAGTGCCATTCTCCTCAAACATTGTGACTATTGCTATGCTGAAAACTGAACTGATCATTGCATGTGTCATAAATCCAATTGCCAAAATTAAGTATAAAATTCCTCGGCATGTTAAAGCCTTGTGAACTGTAAAAGGCATAAAATAAATTATAACAAAACAAGCCATACTGACCTGATAAAATTAATGCCATCTTTCAGGCAAACAAACGTCCACGTTAAATTTTAGTACTTTTTGCCCTGATAAGACTTTTGCGTCGATTACAATTAAAAAGCAAGGTGACTTGTGATAACAAAGTCAAAGTATGAAAATTGTGGATATTTGTGGTGGTGCTTGGAAAATTAATTCCTGYCATTATGTGAGTATAGTTTTCAAGAGCTTAGAATATTTATGGGTCACTYACATCACACTTGAGCYGTTTATGATGCTTTTAACAGTTCTAAGACTCTTTTATATTTAAAATTTYTCAAGGGGTTTGAACAAAAGCAACTTTCATTAAATGAATGTCCAATTAAATTCTCAACTACACTGTCGTGACCCAAGGGTTGTATTGTTTCCTCCCCTCTGAATTTGTCTGCAGTAGACGCTCAAAAATCGATCATTGACAAGCTGCGTTCAAATGAATGAATTTTGATCGTCATATCGAAGCAATTATCTGATTTACAAGCCGTGATAGAATTGTTGAATGTCTTTCGATTGTCTAGACGAGAGGTGCTCAACAATGGGCTATCCCACACAGACTGTGACATTGATTGTGGATATTCAAACCGGAATGGGGCTTGGACAAATTATTACGACCGAATTTTAATTAAGAAAGGAAATTCGAATTTCTATTGTTTGRTAAAGGCGATGAGTCTTGCTGTTCCACTTATTTCAATTACAAAATCTACACGTATTGTGGYCTAAATGACTCAAGCGGTTTTCAAATGGTGTGGTTTCATATTTTTTATTTGAAAAATGACAATAAACACTRATAAATAATTTATCGTCGAATATGCAGTACACAAAACACTCATTTTAAACCAAGTAAAAGAGAATACGAAAGTAGGACTTTTCCCAGATTCTATTATTTATCTTCTTAATTGTAAATCATTATTTATGATTAAATGTGGAGGGCACGTCAATGTGAAAATCTTTTAAAGGTTAAGACGTTGAAAACAAATAAACAATAGATGCTAATTAACCAGTAGAAACAGCAATAGCTATATTTATAAAAAAAATGTATGTATAATGCTCGGGTTAAACCCCACATTAAAAGTATTGGGAGTTCTGACTTCTGACAATGATATTTTCTAAAAATTTGTATATAGCCATAATAATCGGTTAGCTTCTGCTCAATGAAAATATTTTCAGATGCCGATACTTCCGTTTATACCGGAAGTGGGTTTCAATTTTGTTATTTTAAATGGAAAGTTATGCGTTTTATTGCTTTTTTGGATTTCCCGAATTATTCCACGAGAATTATTATTGACTTTTCCTATTCAAAAGTTTAACAGTTTTTAGTCTTTTTTTGAAAATTTTTGAATTTGAACCTTTTTAAATATCTATAACTATGCCATTTTTAACTAGATATTATGAAATCGAGTTCATAACTGAAAAAATAATAACAAATCCCCAAAATTCAATGATACGTTTGGGGAGATTCAAATAGCCATAATTCAATTTTTCTAAATGAAACGTACCCATTTTTTTTACAAAATGGAGGAGAATTGGATTTTGTATAGAAAATGTTAATTCAGATCGATGCAGAATTAAATTCTCCTCTAATTGGTGAAGTAAAAATTCAGCAAAATTGAGTTATGTGTATTTGAACTTTTTCAAATGTAACCTTAAATTTTGGGGGTTTATTCGTTATTTTTGCGATTATGAATACACCAACGGAAAGATGTAATCTTTCTTTTTTATATGCCCAAAAACGATTTCAAAAGAATAAAAAATGGCAGACTTATCGCCAGTACCTATTATACCTATTATAACTACATAATTATATACAAATTTTTAGAATCGGAATTAGAATTTTTACGACTCAAAACTCCAAATTACTGATTAGGAAAAATGAACTTTGAATTTTGAAAGATTTAGAAAAATTTTCCTTCTGTTGCCGTTTTCCTCCCCGCTTTCAATCAATACTTTTATTTTCACCAAAGATTTTAAATGATTTATTACGTACATAATATTTTCTGTTTTATATCAGTTCCTGAAGGAATTTGAATAAAACAATAACCGCAGTCGTAAATCAACTTTTTGTCTCGTTAAATAAACACTTTTTCAGCCCGCTGGGAGAATAAATAATTGTGTTAATGCACGAATGCATTGTTTTTGCTCTATTTGGATATGTCCAAAGAGTATGCTCTTTACAAAATTTTTCTATTTTGCTTTTGTAAACGAAGATTAATTTCAAAGCGTGACCGCGGAAACTGTGTCGTTTGCAAAAGTACGAAATAAACGCTTCATCACCGACCTCAAGTGCATCAAGCACGAATTTCTAAAGCGATAAAAGGCGGTAATAAAATATTTCAATTTCTATGTGGTCTCTTCATCTTCATTAATAATAAAATATGACTGGCATTTTAGTGCAATTATCCCGAATTGAACAATAAAAAGATGCAAATAAAACGACAATGAACTACAAAAGCCTGATTCGGAACTAAAGTGAAGGTCGGATGCGTACAGAATACCCGAAAGGTGTTTTCTTCGGGTATTACGGTTATCGGTTGGCATTGTTTTGTGAATAATTCGCTTTTCTGGCTCGTGTTTACATCAAATGAGTGTTTTATCACTTTGCATAGCTATTTCTGTGTCAGATTGTCACACATGGAGAGAGCTTCTTGTTTAAACTCTCGTGGGTTGTTCAGTGACCCCCACAATTATTTAGAAAATTTGGATTCGGAAACAGTGTCGGTGCCTAGCGTGATTTTTAATCAGTAATAAAAACGAAACAGTCATAAAATTAAAATAAATCATTAATTACTACCGAGTTTATTACGCACGAATTTGGTTGTAAAAGTGCTACTTCAACCTGTTGAAAGTCACGAAGGAGGGCTTAGGTCTGACATAATTTTGAAAAATGATAAATCATCGATTAACAAATCCGGATCCGTTACAATTCGAAACAGGTGCGGACAAATCGGTGAAAGTAACTACAAATTTTCGTTGCATTCGTTTAAATACCTGACATTGAAATCTCTAGTAAAACCAGAAATTGCAAAAAAAAATGTAGAATTTATGAATCATAACTTGTCGACGAGTTCATGGAAAAATCGTCATGAACAATTTGTTCTATTTGCGTAAATACTAGATAATATTCTAGTCGAGTCAATTTAGTCGTGAAAGTGTTATTGATGGATTTTCATGTCGCATCGAGGAATTTGTAAGTAGTGTTTTTATCCGCTTCCGGAAGAATCCGGTTGTTTTTTGATTATTGCGAAATTTCATCGAAAAAGTTTGTTATCAGTGAAAGTAGTTGTAATGCATATTAGCATTGACCTACACCCTGAAGAAAAATTCCTTGCAGCCAATGACAATGGTGGGATGACCACTTTTGTAAATAAACAGAAATAATTGCAAATTAGTTAAAATTATGTCACTAAATTCATCTTGAATATTTATAGTCGTTAATTAATGTTAATTAGGAATAATCAAATTACCTACATGTGAAAATTTGGAAAGTATGACATTTCACTACATTTAACAATTGATGTGAAATATCAGGTTCAGGTCGGGGAATGGCCACTTCCCAACCTGAACAGACATACAGCGTGCGCCAGAACTCGCGCCCCAGATAAAAATTTCAAGTAAGATACCAGGAACATGAAAAAAATGTTAAAAAAAATTCTATCTGTCAAAAAATTTTGACATTTATTTTTTGACATTTGACATTTTTTTATGTCTATTTAATGATACTGATGATCTTGTATATGTTTTTATACAATTATTTAGTAAAGGTACAAAAATTTTGCCAATAAAAACCACAAATAACATTGAACAGAGTTACAATTTAAGATACAGCTTTCTTGTTTCCTCTTTTAATAGCCTGTTGCAAAAAAAACTTGGAAAATTATTTTTCCAACAGAAATAAATAGAGTCAAAGTGCAAAATTTAAACCCTCACAACTTCGAAATTTTTATAGATAAATTTTTTTTAACATTTTTTCCATGTTCCTGGTAAATTACCTTATATGGCATTTTTCTCTGGGGCGCGAGATCTGGCGCACCCTGTATATCGTGTTTTTCAAAGTTTAATATTTTTATTGGTTTTCTGTTCTTGAAAGAAGATGTGATTGTGAAGAAAATAGTATACAAACCTTGGTGGTCGTTGCTTCATCGTACCTCGGCTCATTATTAACCGCTGCGCTTCGCGCCACCCACCTCACTATGTAATCTACTATTTATTTCAGTAGCGATATTTCCGAGGCGAAGGCGAGGCATTTGCGACAATCGTGAGTCAACTCACCGTCGTATTTTTTTCCAGTTATCTCTGTCGCATGACTCTTTTCTACTTTACCGTCTGTTTGCATCATAATACGGTAATATTGTAATAAATTACAGTCGAGTGAACATGTAAAAGGTGTTCCTMTCTGCACTTTTACTCCATTTATTATCACACATTGTCAATGCTTGCTTTTTAGTTTCACTATTTTCTATATCATATGGGAAGCGTTTTTCTTTTAAACCCATAAATGRTAACCCATTTTTAATTAATTAATGAAACGTGAAATTAACGTCGCGGAACGGTAATAAAATAACAATMAAAAGTTGACACTTTCACCACCAATTTTTGGTGATTTATCATGTTGTCTTGAAAAAGTAACTCATTGGTGATGAGCGTAGGTTTAGTAATTTATGAATGGTTTTCATTAAACCTACGCCCGCGTCTAGCGTTGATTTTTTTGAAAATCCGACCCGGAACGTTCAAGTTCAAGTTCAATGCCTTTTAGATATGCGATATCATCGCACTTCATTAAACATAAGAAATGTTAAAGTGTATGCAAGTCCCAGGACTTAATGAACTGTTCTTTTATTGCAGTCTCGAGAATTCTCCCATTGAAAAATCCAGGGAAAAATATTTATCGACACTTTATTACTTAATTCCTTGTTGATTTAACTTATGCACATAACTGATTGAGCATTCGCTGCCGGTCTTTGGCACGGGCTCACGAGGCATGTGTATGACATTGCAAGATGTAGAACACAAGCAAATTTTTTTATCATTTTGATTGTACTAAACTATGTAAAGATCTATTACATATTCAACTCTGATTACAGACCAAATTTATGGCTGATTGA